GAGCTATTTCTACTAATTCCCTACCTGTGAGCTCAAGGCCAACAGATTGAAATTAATTCAGTGATACAGTTACTGAACTAAGATATGTCATTACCATTTCATTCTCTCCATAAACCATGCTAATCATGTATTTTTTCTGAAAAGTAATTTTTCAATTCAACTTTAATGGCACTTTATCAATGACCATCAAATTTACCCTTGTTCTAACATTGTTGTATTTGATTCATAATTTTATTGTGAACCTCTGGGTATTTTGATTCCTTCCTTTTCCCTAGCTCACATTTCCCCAAAATTTAGATGTGGTAATCCTGCCAAATGCCCTTACTCCTACAATAATTTTAGATAGCCTATCTCAAACAGGGCTTTGATTTCTACTGATTTCCATTTATTCATAAACTCAGCAAATACTTTTTTTATCTGCAGAAACATAGCACTAGGCACTACAGGGCTTACAGATAGGATTAAGACAGTTTCTGCCCTTGAAAAGCTCACAAACTGGTGCCAGAGATAGACTAGAGACCAGGTAGAGGGAGACAGCTGTCATAATAAAGGCCAAAAAAAAAGTTACAGGAAAGTAAAAGAGAGAATCTACTAATTTTTCCTTTGATGAATTAAAATGTTTTATGAAAGGGCCACCATCTGAACAGGCTTGAATATAAGTAGAATTTGGATAACTGGTCATAAAGAAATGTGAGCTATGAATAGGTGCAAGATGAACAGGGTGTGAAGGTGCATAGCGTAATTGTATAACCCATGCTAGCCTGGGATGCATTGGATGGCAGTCTTTAAGTAATCATACTTGAAAAGCAAACTGAATCTTTAAATCAATGTTCAAGAAAATATAATGCAGGGAATGGAGGTGTGTTGTGTTCTTACTACACAGCACAAACTTCATTTTGTCCCCTTTCGTAATTCCTCTCCTCGATCTCCCACCGGAATGGCCATGCATGGCAGCTGCTCCCAGTGTTTCTTCTCACACTCACAGACCTCCAAAACATCCTTCAAAACCAAGCTATGTACTTGTTTGTGTTTCCTCTGCCTCCTTTTCTAGCTACAATTTTTCTTCCATCAGTAACCTTCTGTTCTTTCTGCTGCAAATCCATCTAGATTAGCTTCTGCAGTTCTGTACCTCATTTGTTACCCTCATTTACTTTCTGGAGGTCTAGGAGCCAATGAGACAGCTCCAATCCCTAATTGACTGGAAGAGGAGAAGAGCCAAGGGTATCCTTATGCTGATAATGTTTACCTCTTACATTAAAAAAAAATACACGTCTGCTTTGTTTGTGTGTTTTTTAATGAAGGCAGAAAATCAACAAGTAATTGGATACAGAGAGGCAGAATGGTCTATGAAATGAGGTAGTTGGACATAAGGCTGCAAAGATGGCAATAAGAGCTAATATGTATGGAGCATTTACTATGTACCGGGCAGTGTTTGGCTTTGAAGTCCAGGCTAGAAAATCTGAAATTCATTCCACAGCTCTTAGGAGCCCTGAAAGGTGATTGATGAGAAAACAGACATGTTCAAATTGTACTATAAGAAGGTCTATCTGTAGGATTAATGCATGTAAAATGGATTGGATGCAGGCGAAGATGAAGGTAGAAATACCTAAAAATACCAATAAAGAAACTAAAAAGTCCAGTTAAGAAGTGCTCAGGACCCATTATGTTGGGCTTTTCTGGCTGTAAGAAAAGGAGACTTGTGCAGGCCACTTTAATATCAGATATTTGTTTAAAAGATATGCAAAGATTAGGACAGGAACTAGACCTGAACACCACCAGGATCCAAGACAGCTCTGGGGATGGAAGACTTTCCATTTTTCTCTCCCACGGTCTTTCCCCCACACTTCCTTGTGTCTCTTCCAATCTCCTCTTAGGCTCCACGCCACCCTGCCCTTAGCTTCATATTTAGGCCACATAAAGAGCCTCTCAAGAAGATTCAGTTAATTACAGCATCCCTTAGGTGTCCTCAGTCAGCAGCCTTCAGTGCAGAGTGAATAGCTGATTGATTCTTTCCTGACTGGGTGGGCTGCAGGCTGGCCATGTGAGGAAGACGCAGTTGGATACAACTGGTACATCATATTTCTACTGGTGGTATGTTTAGAGAGGAGAGGGTGGCTTTTATCTTAAACCAAAAATCAATCAAATTAAATACAGTTCTTCACTATACACTGTAAACTTGATCAAATCACTTATTTTCTTAATGCCTTAGTTTCTTCATCATTCAAATAGAAATAAAAGTAACAGCACTTTAGAATTCAGCATTCTTCAGAATGACTAGCCACAATTAGTTGACATGAGATTTCACTTCTGTGCCACTTCCGGTTAACTGAGAATAACGGTAGCTCAGGTGTGTAATTACAGTTTGCAAATCAAGTTAATATCCATTTGACTTGATCCTCACGAGAATCCTTTAAAGTAGATGATATAGTTTGACTGTGTTCCCACCCAAATCTCATCTTGAATTGTACTCCTGTAATTCCCATGTGTTGTGGGAGGCACCTGGTGGGCGATAATTGAGTCGTAGGGGCAGTTTCCCCCATGCTGTTCTCACGGTAGTAAATAAGTCTCACAGGATCGCATGGTTTTATCAGGGATTTCTGCTTTTGCATCTTTCTCATTTCTCTTGCCACCACCATGTAAGAAGTGCCTTTCACCTCCCACATGATTCTGAGACCTCCCCAGCCATGTGAAACTGTAAGTCCACTGAAGCCTCTTTTTCTTCCCCGTCTTGGGTATGTCTTTACCAGCAGCATGAAAATGGACTAATACAGTGAATTGGTACCAATAGAGTAGGGCGCTGCTGAAAAGACACCTGAAAATGTGAAAGTGACTTTGGAACTGGGTAACAGGCAGAGGTTGGAACAGTTTGGAGGGCTCAGAAGAAGACAGGAAAATGTGGGAAAGTTTGGAACTTACTAGAGACTTGTTGAATGGCTTTACCTGAAATGCTGACAGCGATATGGACAAGGTCCAGGCTGAGGTGGTCTCAGATGGAGATGAGGAACTTGCTGGGAATTGGAGCAGAAGTGACTCTTTTTGTGTTTTAACAGAGAGACTGGTTTTTTTTTTGCCCCTGCCGTAGAGATTTGTGGAACTTTGAACTTGAGAGAGATAATTTGGGTATCTAGTAGAAGAAATTTCTAAGCAGCAAAGCAGTCAAGAGATAACTTGGTATTCAGTTTCATCAGGGAAGCAGAGCATAAAAGTTCAGAAAATTTGCAGCCTGACAATGTGATAGAAAATAAAAACCCATTTGTTGAGGAGAAATTCAAGCTGGCTACAGAAATTTGCAAAAGTAACAAGGGGCCAAATGCTAATCCCAAGACAATGGGGAAAATGTCTCCAGGTCATGTCAGAGGTCTTCATGGCAGCCCCTCCCATCACAGGCCTGGAAGCCTAGGAGAAAATAGTTTCATGGGCCAGGAGGGTCCCTATGCTGTATGCAGCCTAGGGATTTGGTGCCCTATATCCCAGCCACTGCAGCTGTGGCCAAAAGGGGCTCAGGCCTTGGCTTCAGAGAGTGCAAGCCCCAAGCCTTGGCAGCTTCCATGTGGTGTTGAGCCTGTGAGGGGACAGAAGTCAAGAACTGGGGTTTGGGAACCTCCGTCTAGATTTCAGAGGATGTGGGGAAATGCCTGGATGCCCAGGCAGAAGTTTGCTGCAGGAGTGGGGCCTCATGGAGAGCTAACGCTAGGGCAGTGCAGAAGGAAAATATGAGGTCGGAGCCCCCACACAGAGTCCCTACTGGGGCACTGCCTACTAAAGCTGTGACAACAGGGCCACCATTCTCCAGACTTCAGAATGGTAGATCCACTGAGAGCTTGCGCTGTTCACCTGGAAAAGCCACAGACATTCAACGCTAGCCTGTGAAAGCAGCCGGGAGGGAGGTTGTACCCTGCAAAGCCACAGGGGCAAAGCACCCAACACCATGACAACCCACCTCTTGCATCAGCATGACCTGGATGTGAGACCTGGGGTCAAAGGAGATCATTCTGGGCTTGCACAGGCCCTGTAACTACTTTATTTTGGCCAATTTCTCCCATTTGGAACAGCTATATTTACCCAACGCCTATGCCCCCATTGTTTCTAGGAAGTAACTAGCATGCTTTTGATTTTACAAGCTCATAGGTGGAAGGACTTGCCTTGCCTCAGATGAGACTTTGGACTATGGACTTTTGGAATAATGCTGAAATGAGTTATAACTCTGGGGGACTGTTGGGAAGACATGATTTGTTTTGAAACATGAGACCATGAGATTTGGAGGGGCCAGGGGCAGAATAATATGGTTTGGCTCTGTGTCCCCACCCAAATCTCATCTTGAATTGTGCTCTCATAATTCCCATGTGTTGTGGGAGGGACCCAGTGGGAGATAATTTGAATCATGGGGGCAGTTTCCCCCATACTGTTGTCATGATAGTGAATAATTCTCATAAGATCTGAGGGGTTTATCAGGGATTTCTGCTTTTGCATCTTTCTCATTTTCCTCTTGCTGCCACCATGTCAGAAGTACCTTTCACATCCCACCATGATTCTGAGGCCTCCCCAGCCATGTAAAACTCTCAGTCCAATTAAACCTCCTTTTCTTCCCAGTCTCAGGTATATCTTTATCCGCAGTGTGAAAATGGACTAATACAGTAGGTAAGACATTGCTACCTCCAGTTTTCTAAGATCCCAAGAGGTTACATGGCTTATTGAAGTTTACATGGCTATTATGTGACAAAGCCAAGACTTTAATTTTCATCTTCAAACCCCAAGTCCAATATACTCTCAAGGTTTGGGTTACTTGGTCTTACATAAGCTGTTATATATAACAGATCTGCTATATACATCAAAATGATTATCTTCCTGCTCTTTTCCTTCTTGTCTCCTTTTTCTTAATGCCTCTCATGTTCTATTTTTAATTTATCACAGAATTCTCTGTCTGGCTTTCAGTAATGAAGGGTTTGGTTGTAGAAGTTCAAGGCTTCCCTTAGCATTGATCCTTGCTTCCTGAATTGCAGGGAGACACTCCATCACAGTGACTACTGTCACCTCTGCTGGGAACATTGGGGAGGACGGAACCCTGAGCTGCACTTTTGAACCTGACATCAAACTTTCTGATATCGTCATACAATGGCTGAAGGAAGGTGTTATAGGCTTGGTCCACGAGTTCAAAGAAGGCAAAGATGAGCTGTCGAAGCAGAATGAAATGTTCAGAGGCCGGACAGCACTGTTTGCTGAGCAAGTGATAGTTGGCAATGCCTCTCTGCGGCTGAAAAACGTGCAACTCACAGATGCTGGCACCTACAAATGTTATATCATCACTTCTAAAGGCAAGGGGAATGCTAACCTTGAGTATAAAACTGGAGGTGAGTTACTTTTGGAGAGAGATTTTTTAAAGCACCGAAAGATATTTGAGTCTAAAGATTATGAGTTGCTGATGAAATACCATGTTGTGACCAATATCAGACAATGGTGCTCCCAATTCTGTTAGCAGCTATTTTTGCCATGTTATGGCCGAGACCCATAGCAACCCCAAAAGTAGCCAACTAGAAGAGAGGCCATAAAAATCTTCTGTTCTGGGTTCTCGCTGCTTCTGAATTTCCAGGTGTATTCTCTATTCAACAAAATAAATGTAGTCTCTTTAATGGTAGCCTGGGACATTTCCATGCTGAGTAGACCCAAGCCCCATCCTAAAATCAGTACCTCCAGTGACTCATGACAGTGGGCGCATTTTAGAAGTTCAAAGGGAACTAACCAAAACAAAAAGTATTGTCCTATAAACTCACCAATTCCCCTTCCCCTGCAAGAGTGAAATCCACCCTTTCTTGCCAAATCAACTTAACATATGTTTTCTGAATGTATATACAAGGGACTCAGATGCTGTGAGGAGCACAAAGTTGATTAAACAGATTTCCCCTACCCTTGCAGAGCCTCGTAGCATAGATCTCACAGAGTTAAGGGTCAGAACAGAGATAATAAACGTGTGTAAATGATAATACTTAGTCAAGTGTATTAAATGCTTTAAGAGAAATATAAATATAAATATAAATATAAATAGAGTGATTCAGAGGAAGAGAGAGATACCATTCAAATGCATAGGAGGGGAGGGATGGGAAAGCCCCCTGGAGAAGCTGGATAGGCAGAAACCGGGCCCTGTCAGCCTAAGCTAGTCTGCACAAGCCTTTTTTGTACACCTCATAACACGTGTGTGCAATGATTCGAAGCTCAGATCTAGACTCAGACCTGTGTAAGTACAGTGACCTGGGAAAAGCAATCTCTGCAAGCCTCAGTTTCTTCATCATAAAATGGGGTCACATCACCCAGGCACAGTGGGTCATGCTTGTAATCCCAGCACTCTGGGAGGCCGGGGCAGGCAGATCACCTGAGGTCGGGAGTTGGAGACCAGCCTGACCAACATGGAGAAACCCTGTCTCTACTAAAAATACAAAATTAGCCAGGTGTGGTGGCTGGCACCTGCCTGTAATCCCAGCTACTCGGGAGGCTGAGGCAGGAGAATCACTTGAACCCGGGAGGCAGAGGCTGCGGTGAGCTGAGATTGCGCCATTGCACTGCAGCCTGGGCAACAAGAACAAAGCTCTCTCTTAAGAAAAAAAAAAAAAATGGAGCCATGTCAAAGAGATACTGAAGCCAACTGAAAGAGCTTCCAATGGCAAAGCTGGAATGATTTAAGCAACGAAATAAATAACCTAGTATTGAATTCTTCATTTCTTTAAATAAGTATGAAGTCATGTTTTAACATGCTGTTAACATGACTTCATACTTATTTAAAGAAACGAAGAATATGAAACCAATTATCCTTACAGATGATTCCAAATAATTTATTTAGATCTCTTCCCCTCCAGAAAGCGGAACTTGAAACCTTCCCCACCCAACTCGGGGTATATTGGACTTAATGAAGTCCAGCTTCCAAAGAAATCTAGCAAACACTGCTTCAGCCAGGTGATCCAGCTTAACATCATTAATAAGTCATGTTAACAGCATGTACCTTCTGATATGATGTGATGAGGGCACTTTACCTCCTATGTTCTTCATCTCCAAAACCTGTAACCTCAGTCTAATCATGAGGGAAACATCAGACTAATTCCATCAGAGAGCCATCCTACAAAATACCTAACCAGTACTCCGCAAAACTGTCAAAGTCATGGAATATACAGAAAAACTGGGAAAACGTGACAGACCAGAAGAACCTCAGAGGACATGATGACTATAAAAGCATGGTGGTGTTCTGGATGGAACCCTGGAACAGAAAAAGAACACTAGTGGGGAAAATGTTGAACTACAAATCAAATCTGGAATTTAGTTGGTAGTAACGTACCGATGACAGTTTTTCAGTTTTGACTCATGCATGCTTAGTTATTTACGATGTTAACATTAGAAGAAACTGGGTGAGGTCTATGCAAGAACTCTATACCTTCTATGCAACCTTTTTACATCTAAGTGATTTCAGAATTAGAAGTTGATTTTTTTCAATGGGGATTATCATATTCGCAGGAGTGTTGTGAGGATCAAATGAAATAAGGTCTGGAATACAGTACTGCACATAGAGTATGCCCTCAATGAATGGTGGTTCATCGTCATGTAAGCTTAGTTTCCCACCTCATCTCCCAAGAGTGTGTTCCCTGCCTACTCCCAGCATGTGAGACTTGTCTCCCCTGCTAGATAATGGACTCCTTAAGGGTTAGGCAAGGGCTTTCCTTTTACTACTTACTCAGCACCAGCTCAGTCCCAGGTAAAGGAAGACACTAAATAAATTAATAAATTATATTTTGCCATTTTGGCCCAATAAAATGTCCAGGCTTTAACATTTTTCCACAAGTGTCTCTCTGCCTGGATACAGGGGGAAGCTAAGTCTTAATTTCAATACGCAGTTACATCTTCATTGGGGAGAATTACCTTGGAGGAAAACAAATGTCTATTTCTATCCCTGGATGCCAGAAGTGGACAGTCTTTACCCAAGCACACTCCAAATCTCTGTGATGACAAAGCTTGTGGATGGAATTTCTGTGGGTGACAGATGAACGCTGTTTGTTTCTTCTTTCTTCTTCTCCCTCCCCAGCCTAACTTTATCCTCCAGGGAGAAAAATACATAAAATCCAGAAGCTTCACAGATCTCTAGGAAAATGCCTGATTTCCCTAAGGGATAAGCTTTTTTATGACCACTGAAGTTCCTCTTACTTGGAGAAAATTATTCATTGTAACAATAATATACCTAGAATTTAGGTCCTTGGGATTTGCAATGTTGCCCAAAGGGTTGTGATGTACAGCAATACTGTGAGCAAATAATTATTCACACCTACAATACAATGGGCCATACACAGACGGACCTCTGGGAAAGTACTGAGTAGCTTCAATGGTAAAAAATGACTGCATTTTTAAGACCTAGCACTTCAAAGGCTGTATTGTCTTTTGTGTCTGACCTTGACATCTGCCCTTTTGACCTTTGACCTTGCAGCCTTCAGCATGCCAGAGGTGAATGTGGACTATAATGCCAGTTCAGAGACCTTGCGGTGTGAGGCTCCCCGATGGTTCCCCCAGCCCACAGTGGTCTGGGCGTCTCAAGTGGACCAGGGAGCCAACTTCTCAGAAGTCTCCAACACCAGCTTTGAGCTGAACTCTGAGAATGTGACCATGAAGGTTGTGTCTGTGCTCTACAATGCTACGATCAACAACACATACTCCTGTATGATTGAAAATGACATTGCCAAAGCAACAGGGGATATCAAAGTGACAGGTGCGTTCCTCCATGCCTTCTATATGCATTTACTAGGTAAAGAGTAAAATCTAAATTAAAACTCAATTTCATTAATAGAGATCTACCAAGGCACAAAAATCTCTAGCATCATCTTCACAAAGACTTTGATCACTCAATTCCAGCTGAGATTGTATTACATAAGAGAAAGCCCAACACAAAGCAATATGTTTGGCATATAGGTCAAAGATGGCAATTAGGTTTCATCTTGTATGCCTTCTCTTTGACTGGTTGTCTGGAGAACAGTGTTTAGGATTCTGAGGCTCTGTGTAACTCAGTAGGACTACGTTGGTCTAGCAGTGGGTAAGTGATCATTAATTACTTGACACCTTTCATATGTTCAGCTGGACTTGAAGCCCTCCAGAACTTAGGCTGGAAACCAAGGTTTGGTTCCACCCTGCCTTTGAGAAGGTTGTGGGTCTGAAGACTGAAAGTCTGAACTCTGACTTAGTTGTATTCATCCCCCATGGGACTGACTCATGATCCCACTGATATTAGCTCAGGATTAATCTGAATCCCCTAGATGGAAGTGGTCTCCCAGCACCCTCGCTGAGAACTGGCTGAGAAGACCCAGCACCCTAGTCTCCCCGCAGCACTTTAGTGAATACAAAACCTTAGGTTGAGCTAGTATCAGGGAAATGCACAGACTGAATTTTGATTTTCAAGACCATTCTTCCTGGGGCTAAATTGGATTCAAACTATAGGGAAAGGAGTATGTCAGGAGGCTGCTGTTTGAATCAAGCCTAGCGTTGGGCACAAAATACCTTACACTTTATAAGTACCCCGTAAATGTTTGCTGAATCTAACGGAATAAATCATATTCTTGTGGTTTTTTAATTTAAAATTATACATAGGAAAACAAAATTACCTACAAGCCTGATGTATCAATTTAAAAAATAAATTACACACACACACACACACACACACACACACACACAAAAGTAACCTATGGAATGGAAGAAAATATTTACAAATCATTTATCTAAATAAGGGGTTTAAATCCAGAATATACGAAGAACTCCTGCAATTCAACCACAACAAAAATCAAATAATCTCATTTAAAAATGGGCAAAGCACTTGAAGAGACATTCAACCAAGATGACATAAAAAGAGCTAAAAAGCATATGAGAAGATGTTCAACATCACTAATCACTGGAGAAACGCAGACCAAAACCACAGTGAGATATCACCTGCTACCCGTTAGGGTGGCTACTCAAAAAACAAAACAAAATAAAACAAAAAAAGAAAATAACCTGTTGGTGAGGATGTGGAAAAACTGGAACTCTCACGCACTGTTGGTGGGAGTGTAAAATGGTGCAACTGCTATAGAAAATAGTATAAAGTGTTATCAAAATAGTAAAAACCAGAGCTACCGTATGATTTAACAGTCCTGCTCCTGGGTATGTCTCCAGAAGAATTTAGAGTCTGCACGAGATATTTGCACAGCCATGTTCACAGTGGCACTATTCACAAAAGTCAGGAGGTAGAATCAACCCAAAATGTCCATCAGCAGATGACTAGATAAATAAAATATGGTATACACATACAATAGAATATGATTCGGGCTCAAAAAGGAAGGAAATACTATTTTATGCTACAACAAGAATGAACTTTCAGGACATGATGCTACGTGAAATAAGCTAGTTACAAAAAGACAAATACTATATAATTTAAACAAGTTACCTAAAGCAGTCAAATCCACAGAAACAGAAAGTAGAATGGTGGTTAGCAGGTGCCAGGGTAGAGGAGTTGAAGGAGGAAGAGGTTTTTGTTCAATGAGTATAGAGTTTCGGATTTGCAAAATGAAAAAGTTCTAATGATCTGTTTTATGACGATGTGGATATACTTAACAGTTCTGAATTGTACACACAAAATGGTTAATATGGGAAATTTTGTTGTGTTTTTTTACTGCAATTTTTAAAAATATCTAATTAAAAATTTAGATGTATGCGAGCGAGAGCTCTTGCACCAACCATCTTGAGGAACCTCCTGGTTAGGACCCTTAGTGGCCTGTAACAGAAAACCAGTATAAATCAACTGAGGCTAAAAGGAAAATGTATGAAGAATGTTGTGGAACCAAAGATGGGAAGTGCAGTTGACTTCAGGAACTGCTGGAACTAGGAACTTAAATTCCATTGGATTCTTTGTCTCTCATTTCTACTTACTTCTCTCTTTATTCTCTCTTGTTTTAGTCCACTTGGCAAGATATGATCGCCAAGCATCCCTATATTTTAAAATCTCTTTTACTCAAGAGAATGACGAATCTGAACCTCCATCCATCAGTCTCATTCTTCATTTCTAAGAATGCCTTTGACTCAACTTGGGTCAGCTGCCCCTATCTAGGCCAATGGGGCAGTATCTGATGAAAGGCCTTCCCAGAAAGGAGGAGGGACTGAAGTATTGGTCATTTAAAACAATGGGTGCTGACCACAGTATCTTAGTCCAGATCTCAGTAAAAAGCTCCTGTGTAAATAAGGTCTTCTAGTAGTGAGGGCCATAACTGAACAAGACATAGACATTGAGCACACCTTTTATTCAATGAATGAATCTTTCTTCTTAATGTTTGTTGGATACATCAAAATATGTGTTAGAGGGGAGGGACAGCAGGGGTGGGGAGTTGCGGAGAGATAGCAAGGGGAGAAATGCCAGATATAGGTGATGGGGAGGAAGGCAGCAAACCACATTGCCATGTGTCTACCTATGCAACAATCTTGCATGTTCTTCACATGTACCCCAAAACCTAAAATGCAATAAAAAAAATAAGTGTTAGAAGTTTCAGTCTAGGACAAAATACAACTTTTGGTAGCTCAAAATTAAGAAAAGAGCAGAGTTTCTTATTGCTATGCACAAAGTAGGTGCTCCATTCAAACAATTCAGCAGGGCTGTGGGATTTACATCCTGTGTGCTCTGACTACACTGCTAATTTAGGTCATTCGTTTAACAAGTATCTATTGTGTGCCAAGTATGTTCAGAATACTGTTTTAAGCCCCCTGAGATGCTGAAATGAATAGCGTAAGTATCAAAAAAGAAGTTAATCACAGTGTAGATTTAGTACCTATGGGAAAGAGTTGTTAATTATGACTGAAGTGGATTCATAGATAAGGCAGAGTTCAGGCTGGGTTTTGAAGAAGAAAAAAATGGTTTGGATAAAATGGGAAGACATGAAGTTAGGAGCTTACAGTAATGGCCTGAGGGAGAAATTATGGGAGTATTAACTGGGGCAGAGGCAATGGGAAAGCAAAGGGAGAAGAATCACAAGTTGCTTAAACAAAATAATGTACAGGCCTTGGTGATGCAAATGTGAAAGTCAAGAGAAGTCACAAGTCAAAATGGGTTTGCTATTTCTACCCAGAATACTTAGAAGGTTGGTGATGCTACCAGAAAACAAACAAACAACAACAACAAAAAAAAACGCACAACATGTGTGGGGAGTAGATGAGGGTTTTAGAGACATCGAGTTTAAAATGCCCATGGTGTATGCAGATAGAGATGTCCAGTGCTTAGCGCAATACCCAGCTTGTGATAGGTTCTGGGGAGCATGCCACACCCTTCCTCCATATATTTCCTTTTATGAGAAGGGATCCCCACCGGTGTAATCATTTTAGCCTCTCTCTTCCTCCCTCTTTCACTCTTCCCCAGAGAATGAGGAATTAATTTATCTGACTGGTGGGTATAATAGCAGCCGCTGGACGTAAGTAGCTCCTTCTTTTCTCTCTGTTTTAGCTATCTCTCAGGAAGCTTATGTACTTTCTGCTCTGCTCCTCCACGCCATCAGTTGTTCGGGGTAGAATCTGCTTCTGCAGGAGACTTGCATGAATCTGGTTCTGTCTGACAGTGGAAAGTCTAGGCTGTACCCTACTTGCCTGCCTACAAAACCTCATTCTCTATTAACAGACTTTCAGCACTGAAGGTGATATTTTGATCTTCCAGTTGCCTTATATTTTTTTCCTTCTCTTTAATTGGTTCAGAACTAAGCTGGAGAAGGAGCTGTTATTTATTGGACTCCTTTGAACCCCAATAGTAGGTACTCAGAAATATTTACTGAATGATTATGTCTTTAAATGACGTACCTAGCAGCAACTGGAAATCTAGATGTGTAACTCAGGACACAGCTCAAGCTAAGGAGGTAGACTTGGAAATTACCAGCATGAAAGTCATACTCATTAGGCTTCAGTGATGTTGGTTTTATTGTTGTTTTTGTAGTCAATGCTTACTGAGTGCTTATTACGGACCAGACACTGTTCTAAGTGTGCTTTGCATGCATTAACTCATTAATCCTCATAAGAACCCTATGAAGTAGGTTATTAGTATTTTAGCCCTATTTATAGATGAAGAAACTGGAGCACATATATTTTTTGTTGTTGTTGTTGTTGTTGTTGTTTGTTTTTTGTTTGTTTTTTTTTTTGAGACGGAGTTTCGCTCTTGTTATCCAGGCTGGAGTACAATGGCGCGATCTCGGCTCACCGCAACCTCTGCCTCCTGGGTTCAGGCAATTCTTCTGCCTCAGCCTCCTGAGTAGCTGGGATTACAGGCACGTGCCACCATGCCCAGCTAATTTTTTGTATTTTTAGTAGAGACGGGGTTTCACCATGTTGACCAGGATGGTCTCGATCTCTTGACCTCGTGATCCACCCGCCTCGGCCTCCCAAAGTGCTGGGATTACAGGCTTGAGCCACCGCGCCCGGCCTGGAGCACATATATTGAGTAACTTGCCTAAAGTCACACAGCTGGCTAAGTGACAGAGCTGAAATGAAATAAAAGAGATAGGATCATCTAGGTAGGAAATCGAGCAAAAGTTTATTTTATTTCTTTACATCTACCTTTCTCTACTTCAGAATGAGAATAGTACTTCCCAGACACTATATTGGTGTGATGAAAGCTAATGTAATGACATGGATGCTGTAAAGATCACTGCCTAGGGGAAAAATGCGTTTCATGCCAAGAACTGGCCATGACTGTTCATTTAGCCGATTCTTTATTTGGTAACCAGTAACAGTCTCTCAATTGGTATAGTTTTTCATTTGGCTGAGTGCTCACTGGAGTGGACCACAGAATGGATTTTTTTTTGGGGGGGGTGGGAGGTGAAACAATCTCCTCTGTTGCCCAGACTGGAGTACAGTGACTCAGTCTCGGCTAACTCCAACCTCTGCCTCCTGGGTTCAAGCGATTCCTGTGCCTCAGCCTCTTGAGTAGCTGGGTCTACAGGCACGTGCCACTATGCTCAGCTAACCTTTGTATTTTTAGTAGAGATGGGGTTTCACCATATTGGTCAGGATGGTCTTGAACTCCTGACGACTTGATCCGCCGTCTCGGCCTCCCAAAGTGCTGGGATTATAGGCGTGAGCCACAACGGCCGGCCAGAATGGAATTTTCTTTGAAGAAAGGGAAAGCTGTACACTTTTAAGCCAGTTATGGACAGGTGAGTAAAGAGGTAACAAATTGCCTGCATTAGGAACAACTTGTTCTGTTTTTCAGGTACTTTTCTTTGCTAGCCAGTTATGTGACGAAGACATGCAGCTTCTCTTACATGAACCTAAACCTTTTCTCTCCCTTCACAGAATCTGAGATCAAAAGGCGGAGTCACCTACAGCTGCTGAACTCGAAGGCTTCTCTGTGTGTCTCTTCTTTCTTTGCCATCAGCTGGGCACTTCTGCCTTTAGCCCCTTACCTGATGCTAAAATAATGTGCCTTGGCCACAGAAAACCATGCAAAGTCATTGTTACAGCAGGTGAGATTCATTCTATAGGTACTTGTGCTCCTAACGAGAGTTGGGTAGCCTTCAGCACCGGCCATAGAAAGAAACATTCAATGACATCAGGGCTGTGACGTTATTTCTACTAGTACTGAGAAAGATAATCATTTGTTATGTCAGCAAACAGTATAGACCTCGACAGACCCATAGGAAAAATAATACAATTCAAGTATATGTGTAAATTCAAATACTTTTTAAGTTAGTCATCCATGAAGGCAAAATAACTTATTGAAGAGAGATATTTAGCCCTGACTATAATAATGACATGCATATCATCATTCACATAAGCGACCCCTCCCCACCCCTCCAGAAGGCCCCTGTGGACAGGAGAGTAGGCAGATGACTCACCAACTAGCCCTCCTGCTGAGATTTCCTTCTCACTTCAGTCCTCTGGCTCCAATTACTGTTAGGATATTTCCTTCTGAATATTCTTCTGCATATGAAATGTGTATAAAGCTGAGATCATGAAGTTCCAGTTGCCACTCCCATATTACTCAGCGGTATCCCCACCAAGCCTCCAAGTTTACAGCCTCAGAGCTGCCGTTGTCTCCCCTCTGTCCCTCATGTCAATTTGTTGTCAATCCCCACCTATCACATTTTCCCATGTTGCCTCTCAGATTGACCCTAATCTAGGCTTCATCATCTCACACCCAGACTGGTTTTGAAACACTGTACCTGGTCCTTCCTTTCCCTATTTTAGCTGATAGGAAACACGGTGTCAGAAGGGAAGTATTCTGAAACACAATTTCATCATAGCATTCCTTTGCTCCAGAGCCTACAGTGACTCTCTGGGCATTACTATGTCAAAGTTAAAGTCACACACACATGCCTACCCACTACTACCGACCATTACTACTACCTACCACTAGCTGCTGCCTACCATTACTCTGTGGTCTTGCTCCCTCTCTCACTGTCTTTTCCTGGAAACCTCCTCTGCTCTATGGCAATTTATACCCACTACTTCCTTTATCCATTTTAGGAAAGTGCTTCCTAGCTTATAGCCCACCTTACCGAGGGTCTCCGTATTCCACATCCTCTTGGCATGCATGTATGATTGATATCTTACACTCTCTAGGGCACATGTATTTTCTGCCTACATTGCTAGGTCCTCAGAGGCAGGTAAAGATCTGTTGATCTGCTTCTTTTCATTCCTTCTCTGGTTCTCCGAGCTTTCACTATAGTGCAGTGCACAAAGGAGATTCTTTGTAAGGAAACCTGCCAGTTTTCCTCATTTCCAATCCTGCACATTTTTCAGCAGAGATTTCCCTAAGGAAACTGTCCCTTGGGGATCTCACTAGTGGAGGAAAAAACACGTTTTTCTTTCCTTGATTCCCCACAACACAGCAAATGAGTTTTTAATAACCTGCAACTAAACAATATAACCTATAGAGCATAGCTGACTCTTCTTTACCTTGTATTCCCTTAGAGTAATAATTTTCAGCTCAAAAAAAAGCCATGTCATGCATCTAATGGATGATGTTCACACGTAGTACATGTAGGCTTATCTGTAATTACCCAGTTAGCTGCAGTCCACCTTTCTCCCGGGCACCACAGAGGAATAACCCTAAATCAAGTAGATTTTTAAAGTAAATGAATGAGGCTAGGAACTATAGCTCACACTTGTAACCTCAGCACTTTGAGAGGCCAGGATGGGAGGATTGCTTGAGCCCAGGAGTTTAAGACCAGCCTGGGCAATATGGTGAGACCCTCGCCTCTACAAAAAAATTTAAAAATAAGCCAGGCGTGGTGGTGTGCACCTGTGGTACCAGCTACTTAGGAGTCTGAGGCGAAAGGATTTCTAGAGCCTAGGAGGTCGAGGCTATAGTGAGCCACGTTTACACCATTGCACTCAAGCCTGAGCAGCAGAGTGAGACCTTTTATCAAAAATAAATAAATAAAGGTAAATGAATGTATCATCATTGGAGACACACATTATAATGGATCATGGCATCTGAAGCCACACACAGTCCATGGTTGGGAATGAGGCAGAAGCCGCATTTCCACCTCTGTTCAGAAGCCGGCCCAGGCTCCTCTCAGTTTACTTGGAGGACCCATCTCTTCTCTTCCTTGAGGGTGCCACTGGGATGATACCTCCTTCAGGACAGAGTCAAGCCTTCTTCTTTTCCCCAGAAGCCCATGGGACCCTGTGGCCTCCATAGAACAACATCAAAATACCAAAAAGGAAGCCCCTGTCTAAACAAGAGATCCAAGTGGCAGGGAAGCTCTCAGTTCTCAGTAAGTGTTTTGTGAATGGCTATCATGGTATCTTATTGCTGTTATTTCCACAATCCTAGGGATCTACAGAATGATTTTGCCACCAGATATGACCTAGTTTTATATTTCTGGGAGGATATGAATTCATATCTAGAAGTCTGGCGTGAACAAACAAGAACAAGAAACAGAACGAAGCCAAAAGCAGAAATCTCCAATATGAACAAGATACATCTATCTTTAAAGGCATATTAGAAGTTGGGAAAGTACTTCATCTGAACTAGACAAGTGTGTTAAGAGTGATGTAAAGTGCACGTGGAGGCAAGTGCATCCCTGGATCTCAGGGACCTCCCCTGCCTATCAACCGGGGAGTGAGAGGATAGGATAGTGATGTCCTTTGTCTCTGGATGTTTAATTATATGTGCTATCATGTTGCTCTAAGGGAGATCCTGGAAAGCCTCTATCCCAAGGTATCTACATCTTATATTCCACAAATTAAGTTGCAGTGTATACTCTAAGATGCTGCTCCTTGACTGCCACTTCGGAACTCCAGGGCAGCTGCCTTTTAGTAAGGGGTCAAATGATTCCCCTTTTTTTTTTTTTTTTGAGACGGAGTTTCGCTCTTGTTACCCAGGCTGGAGTGCAATGGCGCGATCTCGGCTCACCGCAACCTCCGCCTCCTGCGTTCAGGCAATTCTCCTGCCTCAGCCTCCTGAGTAGCTGGGATTACAGGCACGCACCACCATGCCCAGCTAATTTTGTGTATTTTTAGTAGAGACGGGGTTTCACTATGTTGACCAGGATTCACTTTTTATGGTGCTTCCAAAGGTGCCTCAGCTTCTCTTCCCAACTGACAAATGCCACAGATAAAATAATCGTAATTTTAGCCTAAACAGTTGGTAAACTGTTTAGCCTAAACACCGATTTCACAAATAAACTGAGCCCCTTCTTTTTAAACCAACAAAGGCAGGTTTATTTCTCAGATGGTGTTCATCCATGAATGGTCCAGGGAAGGACCGTTCGCCTTGACTCTGTGGCATTATGTCACCACAAGCTCTGAGGCTTCTTTCCATCCTGGATGGACAACTAAGACCTCCGTTTTCAATAGCATCCAGAGCACTGGGACTCAACTGGGGTGATTTCGCTCCCCATCCTCAGGGGAATGTCTGAAGACAGTTTCGGTTGCCACGGTGAGGGCGTGGAGGAGGAGGCAGTGCTGCCAGCATCCCGTGGAAAGAGGCTAGAGATGCTGCTCAACCTCCTACCATGTACAGGACGTCTCCCCGTTACAATTACCCAGTCCCAAGGGTCAACTGTGTCAGGACTAAGAAACCCTGGTTCAGAGTAGAAAAGGCCTAGAAAGAGGGGAGCAAACAAAGCTGTCTGCTTCCTCACGTTAGTCATTGGGACAGAAGCATCTGTCTCTTTGGCTGCTGCCTCAGCACGGAGAGCCTCTGTGAACTCTACCGCGCACCCAGATAACATCTCTCAGAGAACAGAGTTGTCAAGGCTTGTGGGAAATGCCTGATGGGATTATCTTCAGCTTGCTGAGCTTCTGAGTTCCTTTCCCTTCATCCTACCCACCGGCCAAGTTCTGTAAGAGAGCTGCCTACGTTCTAGCTCAGGTTTTCTTCCTCTGAATTTAGATCTTCAGACCCTGCCTGGCCACGATTCAAATGGAGGCAACAGACATATACCTTCCATGAAGTACACAGAGACTTTTGAAAGCAGGGACAATGACCGTTTGAACTGAGGCCTTGGGGAATGAAGCTCTGATGGAAATAATGGTTTGTTTCCAGCCCCCTTCCCACACTTTTCATGTGTTAACCACTGCCTTCCCGGTCCTTGCAGCCACCATGACTGTATTCCATTTTGTTATAGAAAACTGAGTGTAGAGTTCTGATCGTTCAAGATAATGATTAAATATACATTTCCTACACCGTTGTCTGCCTGGTTGGTGGAAGAAAGTGAGTGAAAGGGAAGATGGACTAAAAAGCCATAGAACAGTTCTAAAGATTAGTACCTAGCACATAGCAGGCCTTCAATAAATGTTTGCTGAGTGAATGGGTAAATGAATGGGAGGAATTATAAGACTGCGAGTATGGGCTAGGTGGCTGGGTCTAGTTTCTTTGTGAAATTCCACTGGGCTTATACAACCTGGCACATTTTCATCTCAGGAAATACTCGTGGCAATGGGCTTCAGGCAGATAAATGTAGGATACATATAGGTAGACAAAGTAATTACTCTAGTGTCAAGAAATCCGACTTTCACTACTGAGAAATCATTAAATTCTCAAATGTTAGAGCTGTAAGAAACTCAAAGTCATCTTTTCTAGTCCTTTAATTTTTCAAATAAAGACCCAGAGGCTCAGGGTGAAACAAATGTGACTGGCTATGCTCAGATTTGGTAATGTTCTAAAAGTCACACCGGTAATTGGTAGAGAGATGTAATCTACAGAAAATTTAATTGCCAAATGGCAAATTTCCAGGGGATATTTAGACCAACTTTGCCCCGTTGCATTCCCAGTTTGGTCCCAATACAGGCCTTCTGCAAGAAGAGATCAGCGCTGAACCTAACTGAGGAAGCAAACTCTGAAAGCATAAACAATCCTGGCCCAGGTTAATTATTTGGCTTTGTCCACGAGCACACAGTAGACAACAGATGTGTCATATCAGCCCAGTTGCAAGGACCAGATTTTGACGCACAACACAGACACCTGGGGATGTTCCAACCGAGGTGCCAAAGGTGAAAACATTTCAGAAGTGTTGACACATTGGAGGAAACAGACAAGTCAAACTTGCAGGTGAAGTGTGGGCTATCAGGATCTCCAGCTTGGAAGTGCACAATGCCCTCAATCTGTGATTGTTAACCAGGGGAGTGGAGTGAGCAGGGATCATTATAACATAATAAGGCTTCTGCCCTGTGGCATATGTCATGTGCTTTGGTTCTGTTGATGAAACTTGTAACTCCCAGTCTGCTTCCAGCTGGTGAAGTCTCCATCGGGCTGCTCTAATTCTGACTATATCGCTATGTGCTTGAACTGTTTGCTCCTTTGAACCTTGGCTTATTTCATCTCTCATGGAATCATTCCCAGGAGTTCCAATAGAGGAGTCATCAGAGAAAAGAAACACAGTCACAGAAACAGATGCCTTGTCCCTGAACACACAGTAGATACCTTAGACAACAGATGTTATCACATCAGCCCAACCGCAAGGACCAGGTTGAGGTATACCACGGACATATGGGGATGCTCAAACCTAAGTGCCAAAAGCTAAAACATTTCAGAAGTATGGATACATTTGCTGTCTCCCATCTTCTTTAAATTTTACCCATCATCAAGGTTCCTCCAAAATTCTTCTTTCCTAATGAAGCCGTCACTTCATGGTCCGACGCACTGTGATGTTACCCTTTTCTTTAGTCTATTCATGCATTTTAGCACAAAATCACACAATTTTTTCTTTCATTGCTGTGCACTTGGACTCCCTTGATGATTATAGCAAAATAAGGATGAGGACCCAGGCAGCCCTTGGAAGTTTGCTCTGTGGAAGAGGATCAAGTAGATATTCCCTGGAAGGCTTGTTTACTCATAATGCCTGCTGGGCCAGTTCGATTAATTTGCAGCCTGGAAACAGCGGTTCTGTAGTTACCTCTCCAGGAGCCCCTGTCTACTAGAAGATTGGCTCCTTTGATGATGACATTGCCTGATTCTTCTCAAAGTCATAGCTTTGACTGTCAGCTTTATCTTACCTCTTCAGTTCAAATCTAATTGCCTGGCCTAAGAAGTATTCTCAGTAGTTTCAATGGAAAGATCCCTTACCCCACACTCTAAAAATTACTTTAAGAACTTTATGAGACTTTGGTCTTATATCCTCTCCTTAGAACAAACCAAAAGCTATGCTCAGTTAATCTGGCCTAGGAGCTGCTCATGGTAGACTGGGACCTCTTCCTTTCTCTCTAGTTTTCTATATTTGCAGTTAGCAAACTTTATTTGTAACGATTCATGTATCATTATAGGTAGAATTATTTAGGTATTGACAGATTAAATCCAAGAACCTTATAGTACTTAATACGACTTTAATGAAGTGGATCAGGTAGCCATGTATAACCCAAGTGGTGGGTCCAGGCCTTACACCTAGGGTAGCTGGGACTGGACGGGAGACAGGGTGACAGTATAAAGATGGCAGCCTAGTGAGAGGCAGCAAGTGCTCCTGGAAACAGCCAAGTCTCAGCCTGCTAACTGAGGCTCCATAAGAAAAATGATCATTGCCTTCAATTCCTCTCACCTTCCCTTTTCTCTGTTTTTCCTTATGGTTCAATCAACTCTACTATAAGTCTTGTGTACTCTCCATCTTTCCACTATTATTTCCATCAAAACTCCCGTCAGCACCCTCCGCAACAAAAATGCTTCCTGGCATCAAGCTAAACATGAAAAGGTAATTTATCAACTGTAATTTTCATTAGCTTAATGCACTGCCCTCCCATATAGGCAAAGCCTTACTTTATTGAAATAAAGCTACTAAGAGTGAAGGATAAGATATATCAAACTAGTGAGAGATGCTTGGGTATCATACTCTAGACTGACAATTCTCAGTCAGGGGGCTCAGGGGTGCTTTTTAGCAATACAGATATTAACACCTCTGTGCCCCATTGCTGAGTTAAGAATCACTATGAGGCCAGGTGTGGTGTCTTATGCCTGTAATCCCAGTGCTTTGGGATGCCAAGGCAGGAGGATCACATGAGGCTAGGAGTTCAAGACCAGCCTGGGCAACACAGCAAGACCCTGTCCTTACAATTTTTTTTGTGTGTGTGGTGGCACGCATCTGTAGTCCCAGCTACTTAGGAGGCTAAGGCAGGAGGATAGCTTAAACCCAGGAGTTCAAGGCTCCAGTGAGCTAGGATCACACTACTGCACTCCAGCCTGGGTGACAGAGTGAGACTCTATCGTTTAAAAAATAAATCACCATGTAACATGGGACATATTTGAAGAGAACACATCACCTACATAAACATGCAACTATTGTGGAAATCTGAGGTCTACTGATGCAAATAACCACCTTTATAGAAGGAAAGGAAATGGAGTGCCTCTTACGTGTCAAGCAGGCTACGTATTTCTCTCATCCAATCCTTATCCTATGAGGTGGTATCATTTTGACTCTAGCACCATCACCATCACCATTTTCTAGAGGAGAAAACAGGCTCTGAGAGGCTAAGTAACTCACCCAGGACCAGATAACCAACAGGTTAACCAGAAGTCAAAACCAAATCTATCACAACCCATACTATTTCTGATAGAGTACAAAGTCTCTTTGTACAATGTGCAAAAATGCTATATAAGGTTTAAAACATTGTATGAATATTGACAATCATATTCTTCTTTGTATTAAAATATGAGGATTTGGTGGGAGGTTCAGCTTCATTGCTCATGAAGATATTCAGCCATCTGCGAGGAGGCTGGCTCCTCTCCCTGGAGGAGGCGGCAGTGACTGCTCAGTTATGCTCAGGCCTTCCCTGCTGCACAGAGGGGCTGGCAGTGCCAGTGCAAGCCTCTTCCTAACGCGCTGTGAGGACACTGCCTTGTGCTCACGCAGCTCCTTGCAGCTGTCTTCAAGGCTTCACATGTAGTCTGTAATCTGATGAGATGGAAATCTTTACCAGATGATGCAAAGTGTTTCCTGAGACCATATTATGTTCCTTATCGTTGGCCTCAAGTATACCTGGAAAGAACAGATTTAATTACTAAATCCTCCTGAGTCCGCTAATGTTGATAACTAGATTACATATGGTTCTAACCGCTTTGCCATGACCCACCACACTGCTTTTATATAGTCAAATCCATCATTATTTCCTATTTTGATTTCTTTCTTTATATTTAAATACTTCCTTTAATAGTTATACCTTCTGTAGCTCTCAATTATATAAAAAATTAATCTTTACATTTTAATGCTTCCATGTTTTATTTTTAACAATTAAATATTCAATCCAATCTGAAATTAATTTTTAGTATATTCTCTGAGGTAGCTATTATTTTTTAGTGATTTCCTAATACTATTTGTTAATTAATTTATCTTTACCACCACTGACTTTTTAAAATATTTTATTACATATATATATTTTACATATACTTGTATCTGTTTCTGAACTTTTGATAACCTTTGAGGCCTACAGTTTTAGCCAGCATATACAGAAAGAAAAATATTACGTGCAGATACATTCACCCAGCCATTCCCTGGAGATGGGTAAAAAAGAATAAAATAGAGGAAAAAATTAGAAATTGTTAGTGAATAATTAGAAAGGATTTATCAGTTTAATAAATAAATAAACCCTTGTAAGAAGCCTTCCTGGTGCAAATTAGGGCATTACCGTTCTCCTGTACTGAACAAGGAGTACACAGGTAGATACAGTCTGGATAAAGATACGCAAATGTCAGGGAATTCTTGCATCCATTAAATTTCTCTCCCTACCTCATCCGTTTATGAGCCAGAGTATTCTACTTACCTACTTTCAGGGCCAAGCCTGAGCATACTATGAACAGAGTTCCTGCAAAATTTGTATTGGGAATCCCTGTCTAAATAGTACACGCTTCACCTAGTAACTGTGACAATTAAATGAGAATTCATAAAAGCAGTTATTACATTGCCTGCCCTTATTAGTCTGCTAGGGCTACCATCACAAAATACCACAGATTGGGTGGCTTAAACAATAGAAACTTATTTCTCACAGTTCTGGAGCCCGGAAGTCTAGGATCAAGCTGTCAGCAGATTTGGCTTCTCCTGAGGCCTCTCTCTTTGTCTTGTAGAAAGCTGCCTTCTTGCTGTGTACTCACAGCGTTTTCTCTGTGTGTGTGCACTCCTGATGTCACTCCCTTTTCTTTTTCTTTTTTTCCACTGAAGCATTTTATTTGTAAGTATGTATCACATCCTTAGAAAAAGAATCCCAGG